ATCTAACTGATCTTTGACAAAGCAGACAACAACATACATTGGGGAAAAGAAGCCCTATTCAATAAATGGTGCTGGGATAACTGGATAGTCACATGCAGAAGAATGAAACAGGACCCCTGTCTCTCACCACCCTCAAAAATTAATTCAAGATGGATAAAAGACTTAAATGTAAGGCAGGAAACCATAAGAACTCTAGAAGAAAATGTTGGAAAAAATTCTTCGTAGATATTCGGGTTCTAGGCAAAGAATTTATTGAATGATACCCAATGGTAATCGCGAGTAACAACAAAAGATAAAGTGAATGGGATTTGATTAAACTAAAAGCTCGCACAGCTAAGGATTTTAATCAACAGAGCAAGAACAGTAACCTACAGAATGGGAGAAAAGGCCGGGCGCGGTGGCTCACGCCTGTAATCCTTAGCACTTTTGGGAGGCCGGAAGGGCGGGGGATCGCTGCAAGTCAGGGAGTTCGAAACCAGCCTGAGCGAGACCCCCGTCTCTACCAAATTAGAAATAAATTATTGACCAACTAAAACCTATAATATTTACAGAAAATAGCCGGGCATGGTGGCGCATGCTGTAGTCCCAGCTACTCGGGAGGCTGAGGCAGGAGGATCGGCTGACCCAGGAGAGGGTGGTTGGAGGTTGCGTGACGCCAGGCTGACACACGGCACTCACTCTAGGCCATGGCACACAGGAGTGAAGGACTCTGTCTCAAAAAAAAAAAAAAGGAATGGGGAGAATATTTCCGCATGCTGATATATCAATAAAGGGGTGAATAACCACGAATCTACATAAGCAACTTAAGGCAAATCGCAGCAAGAAAACAAACAATCTCATCTCATTAAAAAGTGGGGAAAAGGCATGAACAGAAGCTTTCAAAAGAAGGTAGACAATGACCAAGAAACATATGAAAAAATGCTCAACGTCACTAATCATCAGGGAAGCAAATTAAAACCATGATGAGATATTACTTTACCCTGTTAGAATAGCTTTTATTAAAAAATCTAAAAAACAATAGATGCTGGATGGATACAGAGAAAGGAATGCTTATACACTGTTGGTGGGCGCAAATTAGTCAACTCCTATGGAGATTCCTCAAAGAAACTAAAAAGTAGATCTACAGTTCGATCCAGCAATCCACTACTAAGTATCTACCAAAGGAAAAGAAGTTTTTGTTCAAAAGTCACCTGCACTCAAATGTTTATTGCAACATATTCACAATTGCAAAGATGTGAATCAACCAAGTGCCATTAATTCATGAGTGATTAACAAAACGTGGTTTAAGGATATCACTGATACTACTGAGCCATGAATAAAGGATGACTAAAAGAAGGGGGGGAAGAGCAAAAACCTACCTAATGGGTACAGTGAACACTATCTGGGTGATGGGCACACAAAAGTGATCCATGTAACAAAAAACATTTGTACCTGCTTAATATTTTTTTTTATTATTTTTAAGATAGACCTGCTTAATATTTTGAAATAAAGAAAGAAAGGACAATAAAAGGAAAGAAAGAGAGAGAAAGGAAGTTTATCTCCTGAAGAAACACAGGACTTCCCCCCTGTTTATTTACTAGCATGTTCAACAGCTGAAACCACAGCAGAGCTCACGAGGTTACCTTAGACAGTGGGTAATGGATGTGTTCTGTTCCACATCAACAGAAAGGTCAAGAAAATCTTCATCTTTGCTACTAACCTGAAGCAAAAAAAAAAAAAATGGAAAAAAAAATATTAGGCACAAAATACACAGTAGACCTAACGCATACAACTTTGAACATTTATAGGGAATCATAAACGGCAGCAAAAATCACAACTGCAGTTAACAGTCGTGTGTGGCTATATATACTCGCTGGTAACCAGAGTTACCCAGAGAACAAGCCAATCCAGAGGAAAATGCCGATGCTCGATTCGACCTCATCCCTATCCCAGTTTTGATTCGGAACTTCCAGTAATAAAAACTCCACCAGATTTCTCTCCCTGTCCATGCACTTCCCCTGCTGTTTCAAAGCATCAAATATCCATATGGCTCCCCCAGACTGACACGATGATAAAAAAGGAAATCGAAAAAGGACTAGAGACTTAGAAAACCTAACCGCGACATGATCACCCCTTTGTTGAGTTGTTTTCAGTTTCCTTGCCAGTCCCTCTGAAATCACTCCTCCCTCCCATGACCCGCCATCCAAACCACATCTGGGCCAAGGAGCGTATTTTCTCCTTAATGTTTTAGAAATATTTATACTTCTTTAAAGGTAAAATTATGACACTTTCCTGTAGGGTTTATATTTTATATAAATATAATATATATGACAACTATATATGTATTATATTATTAAATAGATTATTAAACATTATTGATTTAATATATTTACATAATATAACTATAAATAAATATACAATATAAAATATATATTACATAAATATATAATATAATTATAAATGAATATAAAATAATTATATTATATTTAATAATCTATTAAATAGATCATTAATAATAGATTATTAAATATTTTATTACATATTTTATTAAATATTTATTATTTATAAATATTTAATAAAATTATAAATTATATAAATAAAATTATATAAATTATATTATTAAATATTTATATTATGATAATATAAATAGATTATTAAATGGATCGTGAAAAGTGAAGAATGTATATATTCGAATAATCCAGAAAGAAAATTCAGAAGAGGAGAGTCACAAGAACCCAAAAAAAAAAAAAAACCAAAAAAAAAATAGAGGGAATAAATAGAAAACAAACAATAAAATCACAGCCCCAAATCCAACTACATCAATAACTACAATAAACATAATTGGACTAATCATCCCAAATAAAATGCAGAAATTGAAGAAAGAATTTTTTTAAAAAAAAGCCAGACCAACTGTACGCCATCCACGGGAGCTACACTTTATATATGCGAAGACACAGATATGTTGAATGTAAACAGTTAGAGAAAGACATACTCGGCAAAGCGTTAGCATAAGTATGTAGAGGGCTATCAGATAAAATAGATTTTAAGACAGAGCTATCATGAGAAATAAAAGAAGGCATTTTCTTAATGACAAAAGGGTCAATTTATCAGAAAAACATATCAAACATGGAGCCCCCATTGAACAGAGCCTCAAGAACACACGGAAGCGGAACACTACCCACCAACAGAAAGAAATGAGCTGCTTACTGATACACCCAACACCACCAATGGTGTGCACTGGTGTACAACATTCAACAATGTCATGCAAGCAAAAGCCACCAGACAGAAAAGACCACATGTCGTACGGTTCCATTTATAGGGAACCTCCAGAAAAGACAAGTTTGCAAAGACAGAAAGTGGATCGGCAGTGACCCGGAGCTGGGAACAGGATTGACTGCCGGATACAAGGGATCCTCCCAGTGGTGTGATGCAAATGATCTAAAACTGGGCTATGGAGATAATCGCACAACTCGGCAAACTACTAAAATCACTAAATGGATAAATCTTACGGCATATCGATTATACAGCAGCAAAGTTGTTTTTAAAAAGTCAAAGAGTGGGCCGGGCACAGTGACAAACGCCTGTAATCCTAGCACTCTGGGAGGCCGGGGCGGGAGGATCGCTCAAGGTCAGGAGTTTGAGACCAGCCTGAGCAAGAGCAAGACCCCCGTCTCTACTAAAAATAGAAAGAAATTAATTGGCCAACTAAAAATACATAGAAAAAATGAGCCGGACATGGTGGCGCATGCCTGTAGTCCCAGCTACTCGGGGGAGGCTGAGGCAGGAGGATCGCTTGAGTTCAGGAGTCTGAGGTTGCTGTGAGCCAGGCTGACGCCACGGCACTCACTCTAGCCTGGGCAACAGAGTGAGACTCTGTCTCAAAAAAAAACAAAAACAAAAAAAACTGCCAGGGTTGGAAGGAGAAAGTGGACAATCCCACAGAGAGCTTTTAACCTCCCTTTCTCAGCAACTGATAGAAAAGCTGGGGCGAGTCAACAGACCTGAAAGATCTGAATAACTGTATCAACCACCACACTTAACTGACGATTAGAGAATACTGCACCCGAGGACTGCCAAATACACATTCTTTTCAACTCTGTAGTTCTCAACGGGAGAAGTTTTGCTACCTGGGGACATCTGGCAATGTCTAGAGACATCTTTCATTGTTATATCCTGGGAGCTGCAACTGGCATTGAGTGAGTACAAGCCACGTCTGCTGCTAAGTGAACATCCCATAATGCACAAGGCAGACCCCACCACGAGGAATCACCTGATCCAACATGGCAAGAGTTTCGAGGCAGAGAGACCCTGTTTTCAAGTGTAGACGGTGCATTTAAGGGATAGACCATACATGTTACTGGATTAAAACATACCTCAATACATTTAACCCTTTGCACTCGGATGTCGAGTGTGACTTGACACGGTTAGCAAAAATTATAGAGATTAATATTACTCTCTGAATGTATCAATCATTTGAAATATAAAAAAATCCAAATAAATAAGTTTGTATGAAAAGAAACTCCGGTTTTTTATTCTACTGCCGTGCTTTGTAAAATCTGGGGTATTTAAAAAATTAAATCCCGAGTAGAATAAAGGAATGGAGAAAAAAAGCAAGCGAGTGCAAAGGGTTAAAATAACTGGAATCGTAAAGAATAGATTCCCTAACCATAATGGAATTAGAAACCAATACCTTTAGGATATGTAGGAAAATACCAAATATTTGGATTTTAAACAACATACTTCTAATTAATGCATGGATCAAAGAAAAAAAGAACCACAAGAGAAATTAGAAAATATTTTGAACTAATGGCAAAGAAAACACAATATCAAAATTGTGGGATGCCAGGCATGGTGGCTCACACCTGTAATGCCTGCTTCTTGGGAGGCAGGGTGAGGCGGGAAGATCACTGGAGCCCAAGGAGTTTGAGACCAGCCTGGGCAACACAGCAAGACCCCGTCTCTTAAAAAAATATTTTAAAAATGAAAAATTTTTAGATTTTTAAAAAATAAGAAAAATTGTGGGATGCAGCTAAAGCAGTGCTCAAAGGGAAATTTATAGCTTTATATATAAATATTAATAAACAAAAGAGCAGGGACAATCTTTTCTATTTTAACTGCTATATCTCTAGTACATAAAATAACTCCCAGCTTTAATAGGTAGTTAATAAACATTTACTAAATGAATAATAATTAAACTAAAGACTGAACAAATAAGAAGATATCTAAATGCCAACAGCAACATCTGAGTGGCAGAATTATGATTTATTTTTTTATACATTTGTTTCTGATTTTTTTTAATAATCCACAAGGAGTATATTTTTTAATTAGCAAAACTTTTTTACTTAACCCAAATGGCCCTTCTCTGAAAGGAAACAAGAGGAGTGCAACCAACTGAAATCATAAATAAATTAGTTAGCTACGATCAGGTTCCACCCAAGCTCTTATACAAAGGAGGGGAAAAAACATTTTGTTCTCTGGAATGCAGATTTTTCTCTCCCTAATGATTTCAGGGAGAGGGAGAAAAAAAGATAATTTATTAGCTGAAGAACGTTACTGCATCTTTCACAATTCTAAAATGCAAACTGCTTCTAGAATTAGAGGATGAGAAAGCATTGCTCAGGTGAATCACCTATATGGGACATCAAAACATGGCACTAAACCTTTCCGTTTGGATTTTTCTCTCCCCTTGCCCTAGACTGACATGGTCAAAGGCAATGAATGACCATGAGATTCATTTTTCTGGGGACGGGGTGGTTGGTTGGAGGTGTTTTTTAATTTTTTTTTTTTTTTGCATCTCTTTCTTCCAAGAAAGCTGCCAGAAAAGAAAACCATGTTCTTCCCACACACACAAGGATCTCATTCTGGTCTAAGTGAAAATACAGCTTGTCTCCAAGGAAACATGTCTCACCAAAAGACTCCCATATTCTCAGCAAGCACAGGATACATCTTATTCTCCTTTCTTTGCCCTCAATCCTGGGTGATTTTGTGAACCCCCAAAACCCCAGTTTAAAAAGGCTAGAATTCTGAGGCTCTACCTGCTGTTCTTCTTTTTTTTTTCACTTTTTTTTTCTTTTATTTCGGCATGTGTCTTCTTTTTTAAAGTAATTAATTACCAATCAATTAATGGAACAAATTAATATATACGGCATACATAGAAATCATGAGCCTTGCTAAAATTCTTAAGTGATGAAAGTCACGTGCAAGCGTGCTTCTAAATCTCTGGATTCCTTTCCTGGGCTTAGAAAAGGTGGCAGTTCTAGGCTGCTCAGCCATGAACTGACAAGGTGCTGGCTCTAAGTGGCACCAAGGGGTGGGCTTGGCCCAATCGCTGGGACTCAGCATCTCCACCGAGTGCCTGATCTCCCCTTCCCCCAGCCCCAGCCCCACTCCTGCCTATGAAGGCCACAGGAGCTCTGCTGGGTCGATGGGAAACTCCGCAAACAAAGCAATTAAGGACTGTAAAATTGGTACTTCATAAAGCAGTTCTTAAAACAAACTTTTGGTTCCAGTAACGACTATAAAAGCCACTGAGAAGCACTGAAAAAAAAAAAAAAACACACAGATCTGCAGAGCAAAAAACTCAACTTGAATAGATGGGGAGAAAATTAAAATAAACAACAACAAAATTAAGCTCCAGCTGGCCTAACAAATCTCATGAACCAAAACAAAGGAATAAGCAAGGGAGCACTTAGGCTAGAGTGGAAAATCCCCAAGCCCCAA